CAACGTTGAAATAAATTCATCGCTCCCTGAGATACTAGACACTAGTAATATAAATAATCTGATACTTGGCGATCTTACCTTTGATAATAACAATTTGTTAGATGACATTAATCTAGGGTCATTTGAAGTTAATGACAGTTTAATATTAGTACCTTTAAATAATAACAATTCTCTGATTGATGAAAACAAACTTCGTGATGACAAAATACAGACAAATTCTATTATACAAGTAAAGTCTCCAAAAGTATCACCATTTGTTCGAAAACATCTTATTATACCATCACCAATAAAGAAATCTGCCACTCCTAGAGTCATGAATAGAATTGGCGCAATTTCTTCTGAAGAATGGAGACAATTTGAAATGGCTAAAGAAGAAGAGAAACAAAAAAAGAAAGATGCTATACAAGAAAGAAAATTACAGAGGCAAAAAATTAAAGAAGAAAAACAGAAACAAAAAAATGAAAAAAGAAAAGAAGCAGCTCTTAATTCAAAAAAGAGTAAAGTGAAGGAGACTAAAACGAAGAAAAACAATGATTCTAATCAAGAAGTGAGAGTAATACGTACAAAAAAAAGGAAATTGGAAGACTTGTTTGACATAGCTGAAGAAGCAGAGAAGATAGACTGTCTTTTAGAAGAAGGCAAACAAAATAAAATTAAAATTCTCAGTAATATACTTCTTTCTCCTAAAACTCCTGAAACAGAAACCTGTAAAGAAGATAAGGTCCTGCAAAAAATTGGTAATAGACGACAAACTTTCAGAAGTGAAAAAGAACTTGAAAACTTTTTAAATATGGCAGAATTTTCCGACTGATCTAAGTATAAGTTAAATAAGTATTTGATTACTGTGATTGTTAGAGTATTAGGTTGTTTGACCAGACTTATTGTTAATTAATGTTGTTAATCTTTAAGCTTAAAACTATTGATCTCAAGATAGGCTGACCACTGGTTGTAATATGGCCGAGTACTAGTTTTTGGCGGCTGAACACTGGAGAAAAGTGCCTCATTTTGTTAAAAAATATTTTTTATTTTATTAAAGGATAAGTTTCTATTTTTTGTTAATTTTGAGATATAGTTTAATAAATGAGTAAGTCAATTAACACAAAAGACTTTCAATTTACTCTTTCTAATATTTTCATAAATGAGTTTGAACTCAAACTTACCATTAAAAGGCTGACTACTGGTGCCAGTACCCTACTTNCCAAACCTCTTCTCCATCTACGTCAACGACCTATTAGATCTATCTATTGCCAACACAACAATCATTTGCTATGCAGACGATACGGTCGTACTTTTCAGGGAGTCTTCTTGGGACAATACAAAAAAGCTGGCTGAAAATGGTATGTCAATTATAGCTGGGTGGCTTGATCGGAATCTACTAACGCTCAACACAAAGAAAACTACATTCTTGGCGTTCCATAAAACTAAAGCAAACTCTCCTTGTAATCTGTCATCAGTCGTCATCCACGAATGTCAATCACGAAGCCGTCCTCTTGCGACTGCGGCTGTATCCACTGCAAACGCCTGCAACTGTAAAAGTATTAGTAGGTCAGGCTGCGTTAAGTATCTGGGCATTCTTATAGATGAAAATCTCNCATACTTAAATAAACCTACCTACCTATTACACTTTTTACGTCAGTTTATCTGCTTTAGCTCGTAGGCAGGCTTAAACCCTGGCTTTGGATTATCTTCATCAGCATTTTAATCTTTCATGGCTCTGAAATAAGGCTATTTTCCGGTACATTCATGAAACCATTTCAGTACAAAGCTATAAAAAAATTACACATTTCAAAGATCTAAAACTACCTACAGGACGGATTTCGATGATACAGTCATCTATGTAATACAAATTTTCACAAGCCAGCCGCGTGCAAAAATGTAGTTATTTCTTACGAGTAAGTACTGATGAGTGAATGACCATTTTATCATTGTTTAAAACTGTTTGTCGTTAAGCAGGCATTAAACAATACAATCATTGAGCATTTTGTCTGACTAGATAACATACAAAGTACGTGTGTACCACACATATTTAAAAAGAAAAACAGTTTTTATTTATAAACAAACTTTTAACGAGGTACTTGACCTTTGTATTGTAAAGCACATCATTTGGTTTGACATTTTAATTGGGTCTGGTATGCGCGTGCGTCGATTTGTAAGTAGCACAGATAACATAAAACATTTTGACGTCTCGATTGCGTAGTGGGGCGGTGGCCTTAAACGAGGCTGTGATTCGATCCTTGGCTGGGTCAGTTTTCAAGATCATGTTAAGTACCTATAATATTACTGTTTTTAACGAATTTAATAAATTTTGATTAAACTCATTATTAATATAACTCATAAATTATAATATTAAAGACAGTTAAACACAGTTGGAAATGGACCATAAAATACATGGGAAGAGTACCGAGGTAACAAGGTTTAATCTATTGCAAAATACATAATTTTCTTTAGCCGACTACTTCAATTTTGGCTCATTTTGTCCGATGTCCTTTCAGCATGATCGCTGCGTTCTACAGATCGGCTGAACCTTTAAGGTTCAATGCATTTAAGTCTGGCCGCCATCGCTGCACGCCGGCTGATCGCGTGTGATCGCGTTGGTTTGGCCGAATCTTTACTAACCGACGACAGCTAAATCGTCGGCCGTTTGGTGTAGTGGTTCGGAACGGACTACTATGCCGAGAGGTCCCGGGTTCGATTCCCGGCCGGGCAGAAATTGAAATGATGAATTTTAATTTCAGTGATGGGTCTGGGTGTTACTATGTATAATAAGTATGCATTTACAAAAAAAAAAGTATTTAAGTATGTTTATATCCGTTGTCTAGTACCCATAGTACAAGCTTTGCTTACTTTGTGACGCAAAGTTAGAGTTAGAAGCGTAGTGTAAAATGTCCAAGGATATTTATTTATTTATAATCACTGGAACATCCTAAAATTATTATGTTTAGGTGCAATTATGCAGTAAAAATGATTTGTGAGTTTAACATGGGCAAATGATAGTTAGCATAACCGTACAACCTTTAATACCTGCCAAAAATATTGTTAACATGACACTGTCTTCTTCTTTTCTTGAATATTTCACTAAGGTCACAACCTACTGCTAATAGATGGTAAAATTTTCTTATAAGTACAATACACAATGTACAAATAATAATTATTTTTAGCAGTGGACGACGGGTTTTCACTGTTTTGCCTAAGGTTAGCTGGTAGAGAATGTCACATGGTATTAAGTTCGCCTGTTGTACCGCTATTTTTTTGTGCGTGCAGTATTTTAAATAAAAATAAATAACTCATTGCAAAATACATGCGCAAATAAAAAGTAGCATTTTGGTAATGATGATAAATAAAACATCCTGAGCCAGAAGTTACAATCACGAATACCTAACTGCTCTATTTTACCGACAGGAAAAGTAGAGCAGTTATTTGGTTTTGTAACTCTAATGACTATGACTACTGTATTGGAAAGAATGCAAGGCAACCGCCATTAGTGTACTTTAGTACTCTTCTATCATTTTACTACTTATTTCCTCCGCTTTGTTTAAGTATAACAAACTAGGTACTTCGCAATTGATAAGCAATTACCAACCTACTTATCTGAAGTGGATACAATTACGCAAGTTTAACCAATCAAACCATTAATGTACCTACTTACTGGAATCTAGACTCTAGAATCGTATGTTCTTTAGTGGCAAACTCTTCAATTTACTACCAAATCAATAAACGAACTTAAAACAATAGCCTTCTAGCAGCTACCAGCAGCTACTTCAACTAGCAGCCGTATATGCTTGCAAATATTCTCAACTCACGTCAGTCCACTAGATATAGACCTTCCTCAAACCATGCCACTCGTCTAGTTCCTACGAAGAGTTTCTAGCACTCAAAACACCTTCCAGGTTTTTCATCATGCGGGAGTTAAATGCCGGACCTCTGAGATTAAGGTCTTGGACATTATTTGGCTAATAATAAAAATATAATATCTGCTGCTGTGGATGTGAAATAATTTATAGAAATACCTATAAAAATAACTTTCATATCAAAATATTTTGACGTTTCTTCTGTTTGTAGAGTCATTCTGCTTTATCTTACAGCATTATCATTTATTTTGGTATTTACTCGTAATGTTGTGATAAAAATTCGCGGTGGGTTCAAGAAATGATACCTAAATCCTTTAGCTTTATTTTACTTGATAATACAAAATACTTCAAAAAAATTGTAATAAATTCACGTTTATTATGGTTATAGCTGATTTTGGCTGTAATTGCGGTTAAATAAATGAACCTCTGCCATGGAATTAACTACTCTTGTTTTTATGCTCGGTTAGGAACGGCTAAAATCTGTAGAAATTTATCCAAAATACAATTGTACATATTAAGTTAAGGCTAAGGTCCTTCCTCCTAGCTAGGATCAGACAGATAATGTTGGTATAAAAGACAATTGAATAAGTACAAATCACAAGACCATGAATTATTCATTTTCCTTGTAAATTTTGAAAACTGAAAACGACAGCATTTATCTATTTAAGTACCTATTATTATTTATTTGGAAAATATTCAATTATTATAAAACTTAGGTAAACACCTACTTAACTATTAAAATTTAGTTGTACAAAATTAGCAAAATGTCCACTAAAAGTGTGGTATAAGTAGTCATTTCAATAGATGAATTTACATTATTATAATGCAGTTAAAAACAGCGTCTAGCAAAAGCAATGTAGGTACTCTTATTATCTTATGAAGTTGTTATAAATCTGACTGACATAGTGATCTATCAACGCATAGCCCAAACCTCTGGACGGATCGGGCTGAAATTTGGCACACAGGTACATGTTATGACGTAGGCATCCGCTAAGAAAGCATTTTACGAAACTCCACCCCTAAGGGGGTAAAACGGAGGTAAAACGGCATCCACGCGTACGAAGTCGCGTGCGGCCGCTAGTACATGATGATATTTTGCAACAAAAAATATAATCCGATCTTTCGTAGTAACTTACATTCATTTGTTTTCAGGAAAGTGCGGAGACAAAGAAAAGCTACACGTATCCCCAACTGCGTACAAACATGGCGACGTTTGCGACTTCTCTCCACAAGAAGTTGGGACTAAAATCCGGTGACGTGGTGGCTGTGATGCTTCCGAACTGCCCCGAGTTTGCTGTCATTGCATTTGGGACCTTAGAAGCTGGCTGCGTATTGACTACTTTGAATCCTATTTATAAAGAACGTAAGTATATGATTCCCTATTTTTGTGCTTCGTTTCGTTTCAATGTTAAGATGTCCACTGCTGGACAAAGGCCTCCAACAAGAATTTCCATAACGAGCGGTACTGCGCTGCCCTCATCCAGGTCTGCGACCTTTACCAGATCGTCGGTCTACCTAGTGGGAACGTCTTCCAGCCCGTGATCGCCACTCGAGAACTTTTTGCCCCATTAAGTTTTTTGTAGAACGACAAAATAATTTTAATTGCTATAATTTATCTTTATCAAACTAATGGTATCCCTTTACATACCTGCAAGGTATGCAAGATCTTTGGATAAATGTTAGGATTTGTTGAGTTACATTTTTTTTAATGAATTTGACATAAAATTGTAATGTTTGACTTTGACATAGATTTTTGATTTTGCAATTGCGGAAAAGTTAGTCACAAGGCAAACTAGCGGGGTGTCAAAAACCTTGATAATAATTTAGACTTATAACCATAATAATTAACAAGTCATTGATAAGTGGCTGATAAAAGACCTTAGCCGGTAATCGGGGAAATACTCATACGTACGAGTAAATCCAGTAATAAAATTTGCTTATCTTTATTATTTGTTTTAGGTTTTTTGGGCGATATTTTTCATTTATTTGTTTGAAGCTACTAATAAAATTAAGTTTTAAAGCAATATGTATAATTATAAGTTTGCCACAATATTTAGACTTTCGGTTTTGACTCTTCTTCTTCGTCTGCCTCGCCTTATCCCGTTAGTTCAATTCTATTCCATTGGCAGAAAGATTTGCCATTGATTTATTTATAATGCCTACTTCCGTTTCCTGTTTCTCATTTTAAATCAAGTGGAATCTAACCCCAGGAAGTAAGTGTTGAAAAACATTTACCAATTTACGTGTAGACAAATGTACTATTCCATATTATGCTAATGCACTTTTTATTCAAAAATATCAACGAAAGGAAATAGGTATAACACAACGTCACCTTCCTTTTAGGACTACATCAACTCTTTTTACACTTAATGTATTATCATGTACTTATAATTTTCTTTTAATTTCAGATGAGGTAACACACCAATCTTCACTAACCCAGCCGAAAGTATTTATCACCACTTCAGACCGGTACGAAATTGTTGTGAAAGGTCTCCAAAATGCCAAAGTAAATGCCAAAATAGTTATAGTAGATGATCCTAATAAACCCGTACCTGATAACACAGTAAGATATTCAGAAATAGGTGAAAATGGAGAAGTAGATAATGCCTTGCTAGACAAAATTGAAAAGAAAGATGACGATATAGCATTTATACCATTTTCAAGCGGGACCACAGGACTGCCTAAAGGCGTAGAGATTACTTACAAGAATCTTAAGGCTGGTATAGAGATTATGTCCCAAAAAACCAATTGTTACTGCAATCTGGCCTCAGGTAAGTCAATTTTATCATCCACTAAAATTTCTAGCATCAAATTCTTGTGTACCATTTGATTTCATGGTTTAATGCTTAAAGAGTGAGACTTTTCGATTCGGAGGATCAGGGTTCGATTCCCTGGTTACACATTAAAATCACTGTGTATTGTTCCCAGTTTGGTTAGAACATTAGAGGCTTGATACAGCCCGAATGTCTGAAAAAATCACTAACTTAATAACTCCAGAAGGTCCAATGTCACACGCTTTGTGGTTTCAATGTTCCAAACTACACAATAGGTTTTTTTTTTCTTCACAAAAGATTTAGGCTGAGTTGTACCACCTTATTTTAACTGCGACTTTAACTTAATTTACTGTGACTTTAATATGTGTGTGTGAGTGTGTGTGTGTGTTTTTGTATGGAGTGTGACAGACTTTTAATGATTGTTAAAATTAAAGTAAGATGGTGCAACCCAGCCTAAGTGTAATTTTATTCTACGTCTTCTACATCTATATTGTATGTACCAATCTACTAATATTTTTGTTGCTAATGCACTCCAATTTTGATTATCGATCTATTTGTATTTCAGACAGTTTCCAAGACGTAGTCCCTTGCGTGCTACCCTTCTTCCACATCTACGGGCTGGTCATCACACTCATAGCGCATCTGGCGAACGGCTGCAAGCTCATCACCATGTCTTCCTTCTCCGCCAGTCTGTACCTGAACTTGCTGAAAGCTGAAAACGTCAGCTTGCTTTACGTGGTACCTCCTATAGGTAATTCTTCTTCTTCTTCCTTGGTCCCTCACTGATGAGGATCGCGACCACATATAGTGTTCCTCTACAGACTGCGGTTATAAGCTGTGTGGACCGCACGTAGATACCTAATTTTTGTCACACAAAAGTGACTTGATTTTTCACGAGGTGTGTAATTAGTGGGCTCGCTCGTGGCCGATATTTTATTATTCTGTCTCATTAAAAAATATGTGTCGGGTTGAAAGGTGATTAAGTCAAGTGCCTATAAGAATAATTCAAGCAATGTTTCTTATAACTGAAAATTAATGTTACTACTCTGTTAGTGCTGCAACTAACACATCCTGTGGCTATATAAACACAATTATTTTGACAGTTTCATTTCTTTAATTAATTATTGTTCGAACAAAATCAATTTAAGGGTAATAAAAAGTCTGATTCAGATTTTTCGACAATTTCGTAGCACACTATCAGCTTTGAATGATTGTGTGTACATTAATGTTCACTTCAGTGGAGCAATGATCTTAAATTCTGTACCTCGATACGTTTCCAGCAATCCTCTTGGGCAAGCATCCAGATGTGAACCACGAGCACTTCAGCCACGCCAGATTCATGGTGTGCGGAGCTGCTCCTCTTGCTGCCTCTGATGTTGCGGCCATCTCTGCTAAGACGAAGGTATTTTTATTTATCCTTTGCGACCCTTTATCTGCTACCCAACGACAAAACCATATTATAGACGAACAGTACACACTGACACAAAGCAATAGCAGGGAAAAAATATTATGGTTTACTATAAAGTCCATGTTTGATGTAGTTACTCCTACTGACTGGTTGTCTATGGAAATAGCCACTCCCTTTCGTATAGCTACTGCCTACAAGAATTTACTGAAAATTTTCGTTTCGTTTAGGAGTTTCCCCAACCCGCCTGGGGATAGGAAGGCCTAATCCTTCATTTGCCATTCTTCATTTGGTAATTAGAAAAGGTCGTGCTCCTGCAATAAAATTGATACTAAATGACCTGATGATGATGATGATCTTTGTTCACCTACAAAGCATCAAAATCAAGGCCCAAGTTGGAATTAATTGCTTTACTTCAACAATTATTTTTTGGTTTATTTCAGAACAAAGACTTCCAGTTCTGCCAAGGTTACGGTGCAACCGAGACCACGTCGCTAACAACAGCTACGTTTATAGGACGACAGAACGACTATGACTCTTGTGGGGAAGTCATGGCTGGTATCACGCTGAAGTACGTCGACCCTCAGACTGGGAACCCTGTACCTATTGGAGAAGTAAGTACCTATTGTAGATTTTTTTTAATGAAATCTGGACAATCGGGTAATTGGTGAAGTATGGTAAAACAACAATAATAGAACTATAAGTACCTACTACAGAATCCGGTTCAGCTATAATAATCATGTAGGTACACAAAACTTTATACTTTATACGTGTGGTCTATGTTTTTATCTCAACCGTTTGATGTGTTTGTATCGGACAGTAAAATTCTTTTGCAATTTAGCTTTTATTAGAACCACAAATAAGATACCATAATATCTATTTAGCTATGCGGTCTATACAATGAATATTGAGTTTTGTGAAGATTTACGCAATAACAAGATGATAAGGCAGATTTTATTAATAGCTATCTAGGCAATGTTAAATTCAATTCTAAAATAACTAATTTTTACCGCTAAAGCACATTAAACCTTTACCCTCTTACTAATAAACAGTTGTTACACATGTTAAACAATAGTTTAAAATTTCATTTCCATACTAGGTACATCATTATAAACTAAAGTTTAACGTGCGTGTAATTTTTATTGATATGGGGGTTACATCCCACACTAGTTGGAAAACTTGTCAATATTTTTAGCAATACTGGAAATATCCAAGTTCAAATATAAAAATTACCTGTGATTTATGTTTCAGCGAGGAGAATTATACGTCAAAGGACCAACAATCATGAAAGGATATCACAAAGACCCCAAATCGACTGCAGACTCTTTGACAGATGACGGATTCTTCAAGACTGGTGATCTTGGATACTACAAGCCTGGAGTAGGAGCTTACGTCACTGATAGGATAAAGGAACTCATCAAGGTAATTAAAATTGTAAATAATCTAAGGTTAACGTGATTTCTACTCAAAAAGAAAACACTTTCTTAGCCGCCTCTGTGGACTAGTGGTTAAAAGATTTAGAGGTCTCGCATTTGATTCCCATTAGATTTTTTCTTGCTCAGTTATGCTGGGGATTCCGGGAGAAGCTCTTTTCTAGTTTCAGTATCGCCTGAGCTTCTCCTTCATTGGTAACAAAAACAGTATTTCGAGGAATTTATCATTTTTCACTGGGCTTTCAGATTAAGTTGAATTAGATATTTTAATGAGGGCTATCGTTTCAGCGCTCACCAGTTAGCGCCACTGTAGAGTAAGGTCCTGTCACTTGCTAGTAGCGAAGACAGTGGCACCAACTGGTGGGCGCTAAAGTGGTAGGAGGACTATCGCATATGCACTCATCAAGATGGCGCCACTGTAGAGTAAGGTCCTGTCAATCGCCAGTGGTGCCAACTGTTAAGTATAAAAACGATAGCCCTCATTACCTTAACATTTTATGTTCACAGGTCAAAGGTCTTCAAGTGGCTCCAGCTGAGCTGGAAAGCGTACTCCGATCGCACCCCGCAATAGCCGATGCTGGCGTTATAGGCGTTCCTCACGAATTCTTCGGAGAAGTGCCGAAAGCGTTCGTCATCCTAAAGAAAGATATGAAAGCAGCGCCAGAAGACATCCAAGACTTCGTGGCCAATCAAGTAGCAGCATACAAGAAGATAGATGAAGTGATATTAGTGGATTCAATACCAAAGAACACGACGGGGAAGATATTAAGAAGGGAACTGAAGAAGATGTATGCGTAGCCAGGACGGGAGTTTTATCTATTTATCTATCTTTATTAAAGAAACATACAGCCTTGTTAGACACATTGTCCTTTAAAGTTTCTAAGGCTAGGTTGTACAGTCTTGTAAATATTAGGACTTAAGTGGTTGTTATGTGGCCGGGTACTAGGGTAAAATGCAATATGATGGAATTATGGACTAGTTCTAAAGCATAACGGATTCCTAAACTAATGTTTCATTGGAAGAGGATTATTAACAAGTCAGATTACCTCACCAGAGTGCCTAATTCGTCAATTTTACGTTGGTGTTATGTACAAAAAACGATCTTATGTTATTGAAAGTAAAGTACTGCTTGGTGTAACTAATCGAGTTTTATAGTGCTGTTTCACACAATTTAACTCACAAATGAGTTGGTCACCAAGCTGAGAATCACTTAGAAACCCAGGTGCCTCGTAAGTCGATTGAACCAATCTTGAATTTATCTCGACTACTTAAAGTTCAAAATAGGGTTTTTGATAGTGCCAACAAGGGTACAATTTTGAGCCCTCAATGCTTATCTATTTGTTCATCCCAAAAAAATACAAAAGATGGTTTTGCAATTTTTCGGACATTTTGAGGTCTGCCAGGTAAGGGTTTTTAATAGGGATCTTCTATTGTATACAAAATAGTAAAGTAAAAGTTAAAAAAAAAATACTGCAGTGAAACCAAATAGGGCGAAATAAAGTACTACTACTACTAAGTAGACTGTAATTTATTACATAATACATAGTTTGGTCTTATTATAATTATAGGCAAGAAAGAGATAGTTTTACTACTTTTATTCATATTATTGTTGATTTTTTATATAATTTTATAAAGAAAGTTTGCGTTAATTCTTAAAACTTTAACAAATACATAGGTATGTTTTGTCATTCCCAAAGCATTTAATTTATATTATTGTTACACTCCTCAAGGAGGAATTTGGTGCTATTAAAATTACATAATTATTTTATTTTTGTACTTAGTGCACTTTATAATTAAAATATAGTTAATTATAATTAAGTATGTTATGCCATTTATAGTTACTCTATGTAGTTATTGTGGAAGGAAAAGCAGACATAAATTTAATAAATATTTTCAATAATTTCTTGTTCTTCTTGTCTTACATTAAAGTTTTATACGCTTTATTAATTGTCCTTGAGTTTAATTCATATTTGAAAAAAAAATAGATGCGCCTTTTCAACTATCGGGGGCAAAACTTAATATATAACACTTTATAATACGGAAAATCTCGATATTTTTGTGTGCCTCGAGTTCACGATTATGGACTTATCCTATTAAATTAGTTCTTGATTAACAATTTGTTATTTCCTCAACTAATATAAGTATTACATCATTGTTGGCATTGCAGGTCACCTCAACGTGTACTCACCTATTTTGATATTTATAATCGTAGAACAAATAATTAAAAGCGGATGATTCGTTAGATTTATTTTGTTACTAAAATATAATTTTAAAATTTTGAGATAACAATAGTTTTTAATGTGTGGAGTTAGCACGGCCATCATTTTTTATCTACAAAGGATAAAAACATTTTTATTTATAAAGCCTGGTCCGTGAGCACGTTGAATTTTGTCCAATGACCCCAAGCTACCCATCCTTATCGGTCGCGCGTAATTATATTGGACAAAATTCTACGTGCTCACGGACCAGGCTTTATCAAACAACAAATTTTTGTATCAAAAAAAATTGCAATATTAATCCTACCTACGTATAAAGACAAAAGCGCATCAGGCTTGACATATTCGTTGCAATCTCGCTTTTATTACAACCACATAAACTGCCACAGTGAAGAGCTTGATATGCCGTGCGCGTTTTAACCTAAGCATGGGTTATAATAATATCACTGCCAAAAACAGCTTTGCGTCTGTTCAAACAATAATATTTTGGTTTGAACACTGACACACTGCAAAATGCCACACACGGGTCTAACCGGTCACGCTCACGATTTGAGATATTTTGTATCAAGCTGAGCTGGATTTAGGGTTACCAGGTACTTAATACTTAATAATTTCCTTATTTTTTATGCTTAACAATGCTGGTATTTGACCGCAGTCGCACCTGTTATTGAGTGAGATGCAGTCTAGGATGGTAGGTGTACGCCCTGTAAGTGCCCATTCACTATTGCCTTGAAAAAGCCTGGATAAAAAAGTATTTTATTTAAAAAACCATCAGCATTCAAAAGAGAGAGAGGGAGAGAAAAATTGGTAATAATACTAGGTGTAGAAACGATAGAATTATTTATTTAGTTGTAACTTTTTTTCATAAAGACATAAGAAATTATCTACCAGTCAACTTTTATGCCCGGAATCATTCTTAAAGGCAGGCATAAAGGATCAACAGAAGCATCCGAGTTGCTATCGACATTCATTCACAGTTAACCCCAAATTCCCAACAGCTTTATTGTTATGTAGCATAAAAACTTCCCCAGTCAAAAGCATTAGTTGTAAAGTAAGTTTCTGTCATCTACCAGCCCTAGTGCAACGAATACAGCGTATACCGATTAATTTGTCGGTGTATTTCAACGAACACGCATTTAGTCGACGACCGGTCCCCGGTGCGGTATCACGTCCCGTTACCGGCACCCGAACACATTTCACTGTGACAAAAAAAACAAAAATAGTGCTTTGACAATCGACTACAGTGACAGTTTTCGACCAAGCATCAAGACTATTCGATGGAAATCGGTATAAGAATCGATATAACATCGTTATTCGTATAAATAACAGTCAACAAGTGAGTACGCTACAGAATACAGATCATGAATGTAGGTAAACAAAGTCCATTTCATTCAAAGAGTTGATTGTGTTGTATTTTGCGGTCTTTTTTTATCGCTGATTATGTGCTAATGTTCGTTTAAAAATGTTAAACTTGTTTAAAATTAAAGCATTTTGTAGGTCAACAACAATTTGCGTAACAATGAGCTGTTAAAGAACTAAGAACAATGAAATACAGCTTAAATTCTGCATAATTAAGTAACCGGTAGTCAAGTGCTCTTATCTTATTACAGTTTTATAAAGTAGGGTGTCTACTTTTTATCAGGAACTGTAAAATAAAATATCATAAAACATGTATTTATGATAACTGGAACCAAATTGTACTTCATTTATAATAGCTTCCTAATAAACTTTACATTGTTAATACCTACGAGTATCACAAAAATATTCTTCTCTTATGAAAATAGATAGATTTAAAATGTTGATTTAAATTGTAAATATTTCGAAATGTTGATGGAAAACTACGTTGCAAGCACAGCATTGAACCACTTTTTCTGTAGAATTTACTTTATCTACAAAATTCGTCTCTTTTTTTTAGTATTCCAGCTCTACCTTGATATTCTGGCCCATCTGATTTTTTTACGATTAGTATAACGTGGTATAACGAAGAAAAAATTATATTGCTTGATTTTTCTGATGATATTTATGATTCTGTTATCATCTTATCAATGAACTAAATCCTCAAATCGATAAACTGTAGCATTTTAACATAACCGGCTTACGAATGCAATGCCAGGAATCATTCTTAAAGGCAGGCATAAAAGATCAACAGAAGCATCCGAGTTGCTGTCGACATTCATTCACAGTTAACCCCAAATTCCCAACAGCTTTATTGTTATGTAGCATAAAAACTTTCCCAGTCAAAAGCATTACTTAATAAATGCTTATCTTATCTTATCTTATCTTATCTTAATGTTCTGTAGCATCTAATATGCATTAATAAAATATGTATATGCTATATTAAAACAAAAACGCATGTCTGCTGTTGACTAAACACGAAGGTCATCGTATTTTTATCATTTAAACAAAAGTAGAGTCATATTATTTTTAAACTTTCATGGTCACAAAAATGTTTAATTACATTTAAATCGGGACTTACTTTTATTTTCTGTTTCTAAGTGCGCACAGCTGTGTCATAATCGCGCATGAGCTGAAGAAAAATTAGGTCAGTATTTATTTGTTAAAAACCGGTACGCTGACACTTGAGTACGAGTAGGTAGAGACGGTGACTCTAGATTAAAACCTGCTTACGGAAATGCTAGTCGCCACGTGATCCGTAAAAAAAAACAATACATTTAAAACACCTATGTTGTAATGTTCGAGTCACATTAATTTCCACTTGACAAATAAACGTCTTAGGGTGGATTCGACTAAACAAGAGTAAATATTAATCTAAGAATACATTATTCGACATTTTTGACATATTTCCCATACTGAAACTGCCAATGTGCCAGTAATACCCGGAGTTATTCTCGGATAAAAGTTTGGTCGAATCGGGCCTTAACGAGGTTTGATTTACATTAAACAACTGAAGAAGTAGGTGGAGTGATGACTCGCGAAAGATCGCTGGCAGAAGCTGGATGTGCCATGAGAAGACAGAGTAAGATGGCTCGTATGGGGGGAAGACTATGACCACCAATGGACTGCAATAGGCTGTTGATAATGCTAGATGACCTAGAAATGTATCTTTCCTATTTCACCATTGTTTATCAATTTAAGGAAGACAGTAATAATTTCTGACTCCAAAAGTGGAACAACTACTTGAAGGCCGAGCATTCTAAAAATACCAAAGAACTACCACATGTTAGCAAAATAAAAAATAAAAGCTTGTAATGGAACGATAGTATTGATAGTATTAATTTTTACATTTCCAAAATACACTACTCATTTAATATTTAGTGTTAACTCACGCTAAAAACATAAATAATTATTTTAGCACAATATTTAGAATCATAACTATAAACACAATCATAACTTTAAAAACAATAATTTAAAAACCTAATCGATATTTTAAACAATAGCTTTGAATGTTCCGCTAATGAAACAATAAATTGATTAATCATTATAATCAGATCCATTTAAAATTATAAATTATTATCGGGTTATATTTAAGTTGTTACCATTCAGTTTTGCTCATATAAATCCTTTTCTATCTTATCTTCAACTTTAAATGAAGATTTTATTGATAAAAACTAAAAAAAAAATAGGTAGGTAATATTGTAAATTTTTTTGTGCCAACTCTTCATAAAAGGATTTAGCCAAAATCATAAAATCACGTCATGCCTGCAGCACACCTGCAGTCTGTTTACATGCACTCTAAGGCTGGGTTGCACCATCTTACTTTAACTTTGACAAACGTCAAAAATCTGTCAAACTCCATACATAAAATACCGGTTATCGTCAAAGTTACGGTCAAAGATAGGTGGTGCAACTCAGCCTAAGCAATGTTACATTTCCTGAAAACTTGCCAGTACCTACCTACTGTTTTGATAATATACATGACTTTTGAAATGACAGCGATTTACCAACTGCTGATAAGAAGTGCATCTCTACAAACTGTGACAATTTGGTACATACGGCGCCCGCGACTTCTTGCTTGCGTAAAAAATAAATCCCGTTTATGCTACATTTTTCTTTACTTTTCTTCTTAAAGCCTTCCTCGATAAATGGGCTATCCAACACAAAATGATTTTTTCAAATCGGGCCAGTAGTTCCTGAGATTAGCACGTTTAAGCAAACAAACAAACTCTTCAGCTTTAAGTTATAAGAAAATCGTATAAGAAAAATTACACTGTGTATGTAGCTTGAGGTACCGGCTATACCTTCAATTCGTCCAAAGTCGACAATTTCAATTACCACTTGTACTACATACAGCACATCCCACTCTACATAATTATTTGTTGCATATTCGTCCCTTTTACAACTGCATAAGGTCTCATAGTGTTACTTTGAGACAATGACGTCAATGACGTGCGGCTGTACTTGCATCGAGCAAGGAAAGGTCCAAAGTCGACTCGAGTTGACTACAATTGAAATGGCACCTAGGGTCAATTAAATGTCATCGACTTCGGTACATATTTATATGACTACATAGCTCCTCCATTTGTCTCCGTTAGCGGTGCATGACAGTCAAATAAAATAGTTCAAATGCCTCAAACTGATCGAACTCTACATTTTTGAAAGAATATTTTTATTGTACAAACAACCCCTCGTGATAAGCTAAAATTATGCTTATGTTACAAGTGGGGTGGGTTCACCCCTCCAAAATCAAGCGGCGGTGGGGTTCGAACCCACGTTTCTGGGATCACGAGTCGGGATTAATTTTTTGTAGGATATAAATGATTTCTAAAAATCCATTTTTACAGTAAAACTGCTGTTGCTATGTTACCAATCCTCTGAACTAGTACAAAGTCTGAACGACTTATCCAATTAGATAAAACTACTTTTATCTTAGTTTAAAGATATGGAAAAAACCAAATACCTAATTTGTTTTGTATTCAGCATAAGATTTAAAAAAGCAGCGACATTTTTTATTCCATTTGAATTGTGATAACACTTATCAGTTAGATTAAGGTACGTTTACACCACGAGATAAAACGAAAAACAAACAAACATCGTGTTACATAATCTTTAAATATTGCCACAGAATAACTAATAGTACCATATTGCACTGAATGCTCAGTGAATAAAACTTTCACCCAAAATCTTCCATATCTAAGAAAACTTGACAATATTTTCTAATGATTGAATAAGTTCTGAATCGAACATTAGTTTTATTTTTTTAGCGAAAAGTGGAGTAAGGCAGCTGGAAAAATTGAATTTTCCGGATAGATCCATTTTATTCTGTAACCTACTATTGATAGGGTGATCGCTATAGTAATTAGCCAATACATAGTTATTGGCCAACTTGCCTAAAATGAAAAGAAACAAGCCTAATGGAAGTTATTAGGAGAGGAAAAGAGATATATTTTTTTCTGAGCAATACGCAGTCCAATGTAGTAGGTAAATATTTTTGTCTCTTACCTACTTATTAACAATCCAATATGCCAATAACTATGTGTAGGCTAATTACTATAGCAATCACCCTAGATACTGTTTGATAGAGCTCGTGAAGCACTTTCAGGATCTGTACCTCTAGTACGAAAAACTTTCGAGTTCGTTTCGTTGCGTATTCAAAGTGTCATCGAAAAATTTTGTATGAAAAATTAAACAGCGCCCCCTAGGGCGGCTATAATATAGGGGGCGCTGTTTAATTTTTCATACAAAATTTTTCGATGACACTTTGAATACGCAACGAAACGAACTCGAAAGGTTTTCCTACTAGAGGTACTGTACCTCTAGTACGAAAAACTTTCGAGTTCGTTTATGAAAAATTAAACAGCGCCCCCTATATTATAGCCGCCCTAGGGGGCGCTGTTTAATTTTTCATACAAAATTTTTCGATGACACTTTGAATACGCAAACGAAACGAACTCGAAAGTTTTTCGTACTAGAGGTACTGTATCAAGTTTTTCGATATCTGATAGAGTTAAGAAAGTGAGATTACTTATCGTTTCCACCTTGTACTGGTAAATAATAACATTGATTCTAGCTCATGAATATATCTTTAACTTAGTAAAAAATAATTTCTAATGGAACATGCAAAAATACCTACACCTGTATGTCGTGTCATCATTTGTACTACATCACCCACCTCCGACCTTAAATTTAATAGTTACGATTACAATAGTATTGTATAAGATTTTTAAGATTCATTGTCACTTTTTGTTAGACGTGCCGACGTGCGTCATCATTATGCAAAATATTTTTTTAATAAAATTGCGCTAGTCAATTTTCCGTGTTCGCAATTTACCTACCTGATAACTTTTTTTGGCACGGTTATAGTAAACTTAGGTACAAAACTACAAAATATTGTTTTTAGTTTTCACAAAAGACCTGTTTTCCTTTTTAAAGCTAAAAATAAAGCATTAAAATATGCATTTTCTTAAACAAAAATCAAACAGGTGCAGTTCGTTGTTATACGCAGCAAGTAGGTACATATTTTTAACCAAGACTGGCAGAGGTCACATGGACACGAAATTAATACGTACATGAATAATTAAGTGACCTTCGTATACTTATTGTAGTAATTATTTAAGAAATTTAAAAGTTGGATTAACTTTTAGCATAGGTACAATGCGATTTTCAATCACATATTTTAGATCGTCAAACCTAACAAAAATAATGTAGAGATAGAATCAATAATTTTAGCTTTATTAGATTAAACCTAGTTTTAAGGCAATAGGTATTATAAACTTCTCTGTATTTCGCATTCTTGTAGATAATTGGATTGTAAATTTTGATTGTAAATTACGATCAATTATTATTTATCTACGTGTACTCGTAAATACCTATATACATCGAGGCCTTAAAAGTCGTAACTTATTAAATTTCTACTAGGTTACAGCTAGTCCAGTAGTAACATAATAATTATCTCGTTGCCAGGTTCAATTCGACAAGCATCAAATGTCTGCTTTAAATCTTCCATTATCATACTTGATAGGATTATAATAACAGTGTCGAATTTTCAATAACCCAATACATCATTGTTTCAGATATTATAAGAATACGAGCATTGACTAATCCTGACAACAACACATCAAGATGTCTTTAAGACGCGTGATAAAAGTGAAAAGAGTCCTCGAATGTGCCAGCAATGGCACCAAGTTGGTAAAAAGAAGCAGCAGTATGTGGACAAAAGATAAAATAATAAAGACTCCATACAACAACATCGAAATACCTAATGCGACTCTATACGACTACCTTTGGCAGAACCTCGAGAAATGGCCTGAAAAGACATTGGCGGTAAACGTTTGTTTTAGATAGTAAAAAAGAAATAAAAAGCTTGTAAAAAGACGACCATTATATGTTACTTATAGAATTAACTTGCCAATTATCGTGGATAATTGCATTCATTTATGAGTGATTAACATTATCGCATTAAACAGTTTATTGTTTGTAACAGATACCTACTCATCAATCACCTCATAGACCTTACAAGAAACACCCTGTATGCATAATACACACATTGATGATAAGAAAATAATATATAAAATGAATATCATCCTTTCAACAGGTGTTCAAAGTGACTTTTTGTCACTATCATGTCAGACAAATGCCTTTTCTGTCAAGATTTTAAACAATAAACCATGGTAGCCATTGTTTTAATGATACCTACCTTTAAATTTATACCTGCCAGTTTTACTTTATGTACTGTAACCAAGATCCCTATGTCGTCATCATTTCAGCCACATAACGTCTACTGTTGAATATAAGACTATGATTTCCAGATTGCCTGGTTATTATTTATTATTATTGGTTTTTGGGCCTTCATTTGCACCAGGTCGACCAGGTTTGATCTATTGTGGCAGCCCTTGTGTTTAGAGTACACTGCTTAGTCCTGGTTACAAAAGATCTTAAAAAATAGAGCAGTTTGCACTTACGACTCTGCTCTATTATGAAGTTCTAAAAGGTGCAATTTCAGAACAAAATATGAAGCCTTGATGTACTAAAAGGCAATTCAGCAGCGGATACCTGAATATATTTAGTCTCTCAGCCTCCAAGCGGTAGCCGGCTACCGCGTAACAATGAGGGCTATCGTTCTAGCGCTCACCAGTTAGCGCCACTGTAGAGTAAGGTCCTGTCACTTGCTAGTAGCGAAGACAGTGGCGCCAACTTGTGAGCGCTAAAGTGGTAGGAGGACTATCGCATTTGCACTCATCAAGATGGCGCCACTGTAGAGTAAGGTCCTGTCAATCGCCAGGGGTGCCAACTGTTAAGTATAAAAACGATAGCCCTCATTGATTATCCACTGTGTCTGGATTCGCAGAGCTTGAAGGGTTAAACGAGATTATGGCCTCAAAAGGCTCTTTCTAACTCATAGGTCATTCCATTTTCAGGTATGCTCCGAAACCGGTCGAGGCTACACCTACGAGCAAGCCTTCAACCTATCCAATGCTTTTGCCGCGAACCTCCGTCTCAAGTTAAAGATCAGAGATGGCGACACTGTGTCAGTCATGCTGCCGAATGTGCCTGACTACCCGCTAGTTGCCATGGGCATTCTGGGGGCTGGTGGCGTCATATCTACTATCAACCCTATTTATACCGCACGTGAGTATGATTTACCATGTATATTCGGTGACTGGGTGACTGAGTTTATTGCGCTGCTTGTTCTCAGTTACTGCACTGTCCCGAAGTGTTAGGGATAAAGCAATACTGTGATCTGTAAAAGCGCTTTTCATTGCGATGCAATTTTCAATCATGCTGAAAAAAATACTTTTATGATTTTAGGGTTTTTTGTCATTAGTAGGTAGGTAGTCTTTATAGTATAAGCGGTTGATTTGATTAAGTTTTTTTATAATCTGCGAACATTCATGTTTCCGTGTGATCAAAACATGCATCATATAATATTACCATTTTCTATAAAAAAAAGATAAAACTTGCATAGTTACAATCGACAACACCGACATCAGACAAAACAGCAAAATATCAATTTTACAACTGCATACAAAACTCAAGTACCTAGTGTAGGTATTAGTATCATCGTAATTTAAGCGTAATGACATCATTACTAGAAGAACAATTTCCGTATGGATGTAATTTCATTTACAGAAGGATTACATAACCCGAAGAGTTTACTTAGGTCATGGTTATTCATAACTGTCGGTACAAATCAAAATAAATTATCATGTAATTTTCTCCGTATATTTATTTCGATTCTACATACGTGGAATGAAAGTGAAAATAACTTTAAGTCGAGTGTCTTGTATTACTTTGTGTAATGGCGCAGTTACACTGTGCGGAAATTGACCGAGAAGAGCATGCACACCGAAGTATGGGCGATGCACGGCGAAACTAACTGAATTACGTGTTTACACTGTCTCGATCAATTTCCCGCATAGTGTAACTGCACCATAAGCTAAGGCGCAGACCACTGACTTAGTTGGCCGATAGTTGAGTCGGGCTGTTCAGTAATCAGTAATGGAGATGTAATGAAAATTGAAAGTGCGCACATTACACCGATTTGGCCGATTCTTCATACAAATTGAAATCGGGCCCAACTATCGGCCAACTAAAATTCGGTGGTCTGCGCCTAGGCCAAGCTGATGTTGTTGAAATAACAACTTTTTGTTTGTTTACTCGGCCTAAAAGTTGAACGGCCATTACCGCAACAACTGGTTCGTGCGACCTTGTGTTTACGCAACTTTATGTGTGTTGTAGACGAAGGCAGAATAGTTGAAGACCCAGTAATAACGCTCTACCACAAATTACGACACTAGTTATGAATGGCACGCTATGCGCTAAGTGTACCACGTGCGGTAGTATCTTTTTAACCGACTTCAAAAAAGGAGGTTCTATGTTCCACTATGTAACATGCATTGGTGATGATTTTGACATATTATGAGTCTTCCGTATCTACGCCAATTATGTGAACAGCTATGGTTTTGTTGTTAACCAATGTTTGACCAATAGTTGAAAATTGGACACCCATGTCGTCACTCATTCCAAAAGTAATGCAATATTTTTCCTATAAAAATAATTATGAACCGTTATTTGCTTATTTTATTGCTCTGATTAATGCTACTTTCCTTTTTATCTGATATCCTGTTTTTAGATAACTATAAAAATGTGATACTGTAAAGTTACTACTGAAGTCGATTGTACCAATCAGATGCCACAAATAAGATAAAAATGATTGCAATCAGCAACCCACAATCGGTTTTTAATATTAACGATATCGTCAAGTAGATTTATTGCAAGATTGCTACAAACAAGCTCAGTCACGTAGGCAACTTTGATAGTTATGGGGTAAACTACAGTAATTTGAATATTATCTTTATCAAGTTTGTTGAATGATGTTCTTTGTGTACAATTGGTTCCAAAGTCCAGCACTTGTGTAAGGGAGCGCGCGCACGGACAAAATTGCTAACACTTGTCCCTGCTACAGACTTTCAAGGTTACATTAGTATTCAAATTAAGTGCTTTAACTACGAGTATTACTAGTCTTATTGAATGCTAAGCACTAAATTATATCATAATTTAGTGATATACTTTAAGATTTCATTGAATGCCTTCTCGCTCTACATTTAGAGACTTAGATTTAACTTTCATTACTAATTTTATAACTTTTCCAATTCCAGATGAGGTGCAACGCCAACTAGTGCTATCCAAAGCCAAAGTGGTCGTGACGATGCCAGAAATCCTAGGCGTAGTCAAGGAAGCACTAAAAATAGCGAAATTGGACACCCCTGTCATTGTAATCAAGACAAATGGGGACCCCACTCCGGAGGGGACTTTGTGCTTCAACGAGCTGAGCGAAGATGTCCACGTGGATAAGTCCTGCTTAAAAGATGTCAGAAGAACGCCAAAAGATATCGCCTTCTTACCTTACTCCAGTGGCACCACAGGAATGCCGAAAGGCGTTGAGCTGACGCATAGAAACTTAATAGCTAACTTTGAACAAATGAATGACCCGCATATTAGGAATTACAGCGATACTACAGGTTGGTAATAAGTTTTGTTACTGGATTTTAATTGTTTCGTTGGGGCAGAAAAGTTCTCGAGTGGCGACCACGGGCCGGAAAACGTAACGTGGGCAGGCCCCATACTAGGTGGACTGACGATCTGGTGAAGGCTCGGTCGTTATGCATATTCTTGGGGGAGGCCTTTGTCCAGCAGTGGACGTTATTTGGCTGAAACGAACGAACGATTCTAATTATTTACTCGTATTGTAATAAAATAGGTACAGATTATGTGTGCAAAACTATGCCGAATCACGACAGTGCTAATCTTAAATAAAATTAATTTGTCTATCACACGTCAAAATGTATATTAAATTGTGATACATCTTCACGAAGTGCATCAAGATAAAAATAATAAAATAACCGGAAAAATTCCATCTCAAGAAAATCACAAACTTGTTATTGATACTGATGATAATAATGTCATGAAAGAAAACAAACAACCTACAAATAACGACATAAACTAAGATAACGTTGCACCAAATTATTATCCGATAATTACTAAGATGTAGGTACCTACTATGATCGCTAGAGACAATGCTGGTAATAAATTAACATAAATTTATTGGCAGACTTGAATATAGTTGTGAGAATATTGCAGTTGCCTTTATGACATAGTCAGTCAAATTATTATGGTCCTCAATCCATTGTTTTAAGATTGTATTTGCTAAATCACCTATTAAGTGATTAAGTTAAATTATGCGCATGTTATTTCTATCTTAAATAATTTGTTTCTATGTAGTTAATAGTATAGAATAAACAACATGTTAAAGTTTATTGTTACTTAGTGTTAAATTTTAACATTTGTTTTTTAAATGAACAGACTGTTACTCTTCACTTTTGCATTGAAGAAATTTAAATAAATAAAAACGTTTTTGCTGTGTAAAACACATAAAAGGAATTACAAGAAACAAAATTATTTTACATTATACCTAGCTAAAAGAAAAAGCAAATGGAGGTGGTTCAGCATGTACCGCCAAGGAATATCCGCCCTAGACAGCGCTGGTTTTCAGCCACCACCATATTTTCTCTTGAGGCGTTGGTCGAGAAAATGGTCATTTAAAAGGTTGAAACCTCAAACATTAGCCTACGACTAACGAATCTGATTTATTTAGTTGGTTTTGTTTTACGAGTAAGATCTTGCGTACCTATACCAATAGAGACATCAATATCATTTGCCAATGGCACTTCACAGCCCGTGAATGCCCATAACTTATGATGTAAATCAAAGTTTGGGACTATCTAGGACTTCTAAGATGTGTCCACTTAAGTTCTGGACCTCTATTTGAAAGTAGACTTTTAGTTACTTGTATCGGACAACATTGCAGCTATTTGACTGCCGACGATCTGGTAAAGGTCGCGGGAAGAGCCTGGATGCGGGCAGCGCAGGACCGTTCATTGTGGAAAACCTTGGAGGAGGCCTTTGTCCAGCAGTGGTCGTCATTTGGCTGAAACGAACGATTTGACTGCAATTAAATTTAAATCGCTATACGTACATTCCAAATTCCAACTTTACTTACAGCAACCCACCAAGATTCCATCATGGCTTTGTTGCCTTTCTTCCACATCTACGGCGCTTCAGCTATTATGTTCCACAAGATGTCCGTTGGCGCCAAGCTTGTGACGGTCGCCAAATTCCAACCGGAGAAGTATCTTCAGGCGTTGGAGAAATTCAAGATTGACGTGCTGTACCTTGCCCCTCCGATTTGTAAGTAATCTTCTGTTACTAATACACTGGACTTCAAAGAAAATGGGTCGGTTAGGTCTTATTTATCTTCAAAAGTACTTGACCTATCCTTAGTCTTTATTTTTGAAGATGTTGAAGATTTTCTAATCGATCCTTTTTCTTTGTGGTTCAGTACTATTATAAACGTGTCCATATTTTGGTTACTTTTTCTTTATCTTGTAAAGTTGAGCCTTAGGAGCAGTGCTAGGGCCAATATTGTAGCCCTTAACCTGCGATAAGCACTACTTTTTGTCGCAAAAGTTCGAAGGAGATGACATAAAATAAAAGGATAAAACACATTAAACATTGTCCATCTAGTAAGAAAATTAAGTGTTTATGATTGAGTGACACGCGCATGATACCTAACGGTTATCTGTGACAGATGAACATTGATATTAAAATGCAATCCTCGAGATAAAGAAGATAGTTGAAACCTTGGAATTATTGGTCAGTGATAGCTTAAAATTTTGTACAACATAACATTATTTGAGAAAAGAAATTGGTCCTTTCAGGTTTACTAATGGGAGCGCACCCAGCGGGCACCTCACAAACGTACCAGTACTTGAAGTCGGTGATCAATGGTGCGGCGCCACTGGCGGAGTCCGATGTTAAGCGGTTCCTATCAAAAGTCAAGGTGAATAGAACATTAAAGCTTATTTAGGTTTATTTTCTGCAAAAAGGCTTTTATAAAGCGCTGTTTCTCGTCCTTGTATTACTGTAATCAACACTGTTTCGGGAAAATTAATGGGTCAGTGATAGAAGAAACAGCGCAAAAAATTTGTCACCGTCACCATTGCCATTGTGACCAGCGTGCTAGTTGTTTCTCGACAATTTAAGATACATATTAATCCAATGATATTCCAAGATATAATTATATTCATTTAAAGTTAATTAATAGTGAACATTTTTTATTTCTTTCCAGCAAGAGTTCGACTTTCGCCAAGCCTACGGTTTGACGGAAACCTCCCCTCTTGCGTTGATGCCTCCGAGAGGCGTAAATAACTATTCAATTGTAGGATACCCAGTCTCCAACACAGAAGCTAAGGTCGTTGACGATAACCTGAACAGCTTGGGACCGAATGAGGTGCGTATATTTTGTGATAGAACATTTTTGAACCACTCAAAACCATCAATATATAGGCAAATGATCTGGTGGAGCTCGCGGGAAGTACCTGGGCAGCTCAGGAACGGTTGTCGTGGAAATCCTTGGGAGGCCTTTGTTCAGTAGTGCACGTCATTTAGCTAAAACCTCAGATCATAGAAAGAGAATAGATATGAAGTCGCGCGTAACTACAACGAGAACCAGTGTCCCCACATTTCCCCCACCACAGCTCCCACACACACATTCAACTGTGTAAAAACAAAGCGACTGAGAGTCTACGACAACATGTGCAACCGGCTTAAAAGTGCTGTGATTGGCCAGAAGGCGTGCCTTATGGCCAATCAATGGCCGCGTGACGTGACGCACACTTTGAAAAAAGCAATTAGAGAGAAGAAAGATAAAATGGAGTCGATAAGATATCGATACTTTAAATCCTGGGGGCAAGGCTCGAAATTGGTTTAAAAAATGCTTGTATGAAAACCTTTTTATTATTATACGTTATTATTATGTTCTTTAACGATTTTTGCATAAAGGAGTCAGTTCCATTTTGTATGGACGAAAAACTCAGAATCAATTATTGGGACTAAATGAAGTTACCTTATATTAATTTACCCCAACCAAAGCTCAATGTCGTTATCGATGGAGTATAGAAGTTATAGACTGACAAAGTTTGTATGAAAAGTCATGGGTTAAGTAGGTACTTGCGATTTTTACCAGTATTTACAATATTGGTAATATATTATTATTTACTTTAATAATAATAACAGGATCACTGTAATTATTATTAACTACTATCGCGCATTAACTTTTTAATTATGGCGAAATTCGTACCGCCTATGTTTATCAAAAATAATGCCTATATTAGGCTTTCAACTAGCTCTTATAGTAATTACATAGTTGACAGTTACTAATCCCTTCTACTATTGTTATTGTTTTTGTAAAAACTTAAAAATCGCAAGCAACTCATGATTTTTTCATTCAAAATTAGAAAATAGAAAATAATAATTTACTTCTATTTATCGATAATAGGAAACCGTATTAGAACACGAGCCCTGCACTATGTTACGACCGGCACATGCGGCCGTACTGTGTATTTTCACGCGTCAGTGGATATCGGAAGAAATAAAATACATTGCGCAGTAGTTACGCATGACATAAAGTGGTTGCTAACTAAATCGTCAATGTACAACGTGTTTGAATTTTTATCACCACTAATTTCGATATCGCAGTAAATGTCACGGCACTGAATTCGTTCGTAAAAATGTTTAGTTTTTTTTATTTATAAGCAAAATACCAATGGATTTGCAATACTTACATGTGGTAAATGACTTCATTGTTCCTGTAGTTCTTCGTTTCACTTATGTTATTGCACGTTACGACGCATTATCCAACAATATCGGAGAACATTTCCTCAGTACGACTGAATCGCGACTAACCTGGCGTCGCGGGCGATGTTCGTTTCTGGGCATATCGCGGAGACACGCGCCACGCCCCCGTTTCACATCTATTCCCTTCTATGATCTGAGGCTAAAACGAACGAACGATAGGAAAACGTCTCCGTGCTTCTCAGACACGTCTTACCGGGGAAGATCCTTCGATCCATTGCCACTGGTAAATTAGAGAGAGTCTCATTCTAAATAAAATGAAAAGTAAAAGTAATGTGCACTAACTCAACTAACATAATTTAAGGAAAAATTGTTACTAATCCCTACTAACAAACTATGGATGAAAGTCTGAAATAAATTATTTAATTATTATTATTATTATTATTATTATTCTTGCAAAATGATGATGATGAGGATCGCCGAATATAGCATAGGACACCTTCTTGCTCAATAGATAGACTATGTCAAGAGGCTTTGTTTAGTTTCCGAACCACATGATAATGAAGTATTTTGCCAATTTCAGACGGGAGAGCTCCTAGTCAAAGGCCCTCAAGTGATGGTTGGGTACAGGGAAAACCCGCAAGCCAATAGCGAGGTGTTCACTCCAGACGGCTGGTTCCGAACTGGTGATCTGGTAGTTACTGATGAACTGGGACAAGTCACCATCACTGACAGACTGAAGGAACTGATAAAGGTAAGGAGCAATGTAATAAGTGGTGATATAACCATTGCATGCATTTAATAATACCTACCAAGAGTAAACGTCTTTAAAAGTATTTGGAAAGTAGAAAACTAATGGTCGCAAAGCGTACTGCGTAAGTCTTACACAAGTGTCAAAAAAGTTGTAAACGCAACTAACATAAATAACTATGCGGATGTTATGCGTGTTAAAATGCAGCTGGCATTATGCCAAAGTATACTGTTTTCAAAACAAAAATAAAATACAGATTTGTTGTAAGTCCTATCCGACGTTTAACCTTCTGCCCGCACTTTCTAGAAAGACAACGTCAAAATATTTTCATACTACAACGACTTAATTAGTTTTCTAGATGTTTGTACAGTGTTGTTTATTTACCCTTGCAAAATCATTTACAGGTTAAAGGTTTCCAAGTACCTCCAGCAGAATTGGAGGCGGTCTTGCGTGACCACCCCGCCATCAACGATGCTGCTGTCATTGGAATCCCACACCCAATCAAGGGCGAAGCACCCAAGGGCTTCGTGGTGCTCAAGAGCGGTCAAAAAGCCGACCCTGAGGATATCAAGGCATTCGTCAAAGAAAGGGTAGCATCGTTCAAGAAGATAGACGAAATTGTATTCATAAACAGCATTCCCAAAAGTGCATCAGGGAAAATCCTTAGGAAAGACTTGAAGGCTCAGTATTCTTAAGTATAGTGCAGTATTTTCTTTGTGAAGTACATGTTGTTACTTTTTCCGTGACGTACAGTCGACGGCACAATATACCTAAACCTCTACCTCGAAAAACTTCGGACTTCGAATCGTTTGCATATTCGAATCGCCATCAAAAGATTTATAGTATGAAAAATTAAACAGCGCCCCTATGAACGTGACAAGTAAACTCAGTATGAAAAATACTGTCAAAATTAGTCACATTATCGTTGAATTCGAAGGCTGGGTATTGAATTTTATCGAATACGCAAACGATTCGAAGACGAAACTTTTTCGTGCTAGCTACATAATTCTGTTGGAAAAAAACACCTACTACTTACAACTATTGAAAGTGCCACAATTTCAACATAGGTAGGTATTTGTCCGTACAATGCGTCACTATCAAAAACCTTAAAAACTACTACGACTGAAGAGGGACCAAAAGCGTTACAATGTAAAAGAGTGGTTATTTTGATAATTATTTTTTGGACTTTATAGGGTAAATGGTTTTGTATTAAAGGAGTACATTTTTGGTCATTATGTTGTACTTAGTTCCTAGTTTACGTATCAGTAGAAAGCGAACCGTCCACACGGCTAATTCAGCATGCAAGTAAAAAATCAATCAACTAACATTTTTTTTTCTAAATGAATAACAAAGTATCAGTATGACATTTGCAGAATATTATCAGTTTTGTAAGCTTCATTTTTGTAATTAAATAATAATGTTTTCAGTTAAGGGAAAGTAGTTATTAAGAAAATGTATAGTTTAACTCTAGTCGCATAGAATTGCTTTCAGATTTAGTAATTTTAATACCATTATGGTAACAATATTGTTACACTTAATACTTTTGATATACAGGGTGTTAGAGACATGAAGGCGAAATAAGAATCAATTTGAAAAGACAATCGTCTTACATTAACTTCTTTTGTTTTAACCAAAAAAAAACCAGTTATAGCAGAGTGGAACTACGACCTAAAGATGTTTAATTTATAAAAAAAGAATACCTATTTTTTTTTATCTTTAGGTTAACCACCTGGTTAGGGGTGATTAATTTGTGGTGGTGGAAGATGAAGAATTAAAAAAAAGGTATTTTTAAAATCAGTTTTCGCAAAACTGTCTCTTCCACCCTGATAAGTATGACTAGTTAGTAAACCAGTTTTATAATAAGTATTGTTATTTCTATATGTTATAGTTTTGATATTAATACAATTTTGTATATTTATTTTTGTGCAATAAACAGCAAATAAACATTATTGCATTTATCATTCAGTTATTTTATTTTCGATATCAATTTTCTTCTTTAAAATGCTATCTTTAAAGTCGAATTTACATTAAGTAAGATGGTTAATCTAAAGGCTACTACATCAATACAAAACTTATGTATTTGAATTTTATAACATCATTATATCGGTCATTAGTTCTCATTGCACATGTCATGTCTTGTCGCTCACGCTGATTATCTCGCTTTGCGTGAGAGAGACGAATATATTCGACACTGTATATCGATGTAAATAGTAGCCTCACTTGGTACGCCCCTTCTATGGGTCATGGTCATTGCAATCAGGTCTCTTGTAGCTCGCTTGTGGACTGAATTTGTAATATAAATCATGATTTAAAGTCGACGTGTTGATCTAATGGAGCCATGTCGGCTGCTATAGGGGGTTTTTAATCCACGTAGAGTACTTAAAAAGCTGCTGAATCCTTCCAAGGTTCATAATCCAGTGCGGTCTTTTAAAAACTACATAAATACGATATCGAATTAATAAACAAAACTGTTCAACGAAAAGTAACTTTACCAACTGGAGCAAAGTCCAAATAAAACTTAATATTCAGTGAGTGTAAAACATTATCAACAACGCCACATTCACTTCTAAACATTGCGATAGCTATGTCGTGTTTTACAGTGCGATCCAAATATTTATTCGATAAGTTCAAAACAATAACAAGTATTAAATTAAGATACAGTCATGTTTGGACAAGTGAAAATGTTGTACAATCTCCGTATAAAGATGTGGTGATACCAGAAACGACTATAGTGGATTATGTTTGGAGGAATTTAGACAAATGGCCAACCAAGACCGCAGCGGTGAGTACTGTTACAATATTTTGGTTACAAGAAAATATTGTGTGGTAATATACTACGAATAGCACTTGCATCATACATACATTTTATGGGTTGATTATCGAAGGTTGCCTTTAATGTTCGAACGGATTTTTATCAGCTGTTCAAAAGCCCAATTTTCCTAAGCATGATTTACTGCCAAATAGTTCCCTAATGGGCCTCATAAGAAGGCTCAAGGTCACCCAAAGGGCGATGGAGCGGGCTATGCTCGGAGTTTCCCTGCGTGATCGAATCAGAAATGAGGAGATCCGTAGGAGAACCAAAGTAACCGACATAGCTCGCAGAATTGCTAAAATCAAGTGGCAGTGGGCGTGGCACATAGCTCGTAGAGACGATGGCCGTTGGGGCAGGAAAGTTCTCGAGTGGCGACCACGGGCTGGAAAACGTAGCGTGGGCAGGCCTCCTACTAGGTGGACCGACGATCTGGTAAAGGTCGCGGGAAGAGCCTGGATGCGGGCAGCGCAGGACCGTTCATTGTGGAAAACCTTGGGGGAGGCCTTTGTCCAGCAGTGGACGTCATTTGGCTGAAACTAACGAACGAAGTTCCCTAATAAAAAAGGTAAAAGGGTTCAGTAAAAAGAAAAGTGGATATACGGGGACTATAATTATGAAAAATTCGTGTATGTATTTACCTAAACCTAAACAATATAAAGTTATGTAAAAGAAAAGAAACAAACTCATAAAAGAGATAAAAATGTCCTAGTGTTATATTATTGTTAACTGATAGGTACAGTAACATCTTCTCTATACATTGTGAGTCACGTTAAAGTGTATATATGAAAATAGATAAAACTAGACCTATTTTTATCGACAAAAAAGAGGTCAACAATTTTTTGAGATTTTTTTTTATCTTTTATAAAAAATTTTTCTTCCAATTACTTATTGTAAAGAAAACGTAATAACTTTTAAACTTAGCGGTATATCCTGATAAAATAAAAACAATAATAATGCCAAATAACAGGCGATACTAAAAAAATACATAAAATACACAAAAAGGTTTACAAATAATAAACAATGATACTTTTTGAAAAAAAAAATTGCTTTTAAATTCGTGTTTTTTCGGTTATTTGATAAATTTCTCCAAAAAATGCCCCAATTACAGCAATAATTTACCAAGTGTTATACCATTTTGGAATCCTTACTAAATGCGCCAAATATGACGTCACTTGCCAAACTCGCGTACTACAATTTTTTTTCAGTACAGTCAGTTAAAACAAGGCAACATTTTTATTTTGAAAAATGTTTTGGGAATAATGTATTTTTTTCATCCAAGTTGGAGCAGCTGGTTTTGTAATTTTGATAACAATTTAGAGAAGCATTATTCAGGGTTACATAACAAAAAAAAAATTTTAAAAAGTGAAGATTTGTGGCAACACGAGTAAAAAGACCGTCACCTGGAGTAAAAATTTTTGATTTTTTTAAATGCCCATTATTTTGAAAAATATGCCACATAGATTTTTTTTATATTTTTCTGATAACCAGCATACTCCTACTAGGTGGACCGACGATCTGGTAAAGGTCGCGGGAAGAGCCTGGATGCGGGCAGCGCAGGACCGTTAATTGTGGAAAACCTTGGGGGAGGCCTTTGTCCAGCAGTGGACGTCATTTGGCTGAAAAGAAGAAGAAGAAGAACCAGCATAACTTGCCTCAACACCCAGTTCCGGCTTGACGTTACATTACGGGACACCCTGTATATAAAAGAAAGTCGTGTTAGTTACACCACTTATAACTCAAGAACGGCTGAACCGATTTAGCTGAAAATTGTCAGAAGTTTAGAACCAGGAGAAGGCCATAGGATACTATTTATCCCGTTCGAAATAAAAAAAATGTTTATTGCCATTAAGGCGGAACAAAGTTCGCCGGGTCAGCTAGTTGTTGATAAAATTAATTTTAGTATACAGCACATTTTAGACTAAGATTTTTGTTGCAAAATAGACTGTGTTACAACGAGATAAGACGCCACTGTGTGAAGCTTGATGTGCCTTTGTCCGTACGATAAAACGATGTTTAAGACTACATAGTAGTTATCATAGATAATTTCTGTCAGCCCATTAAAATGCCGTAGCGCCTCTTTATTAGGTAAAGAAAAAAATGTTTTTCATTGGTTTTGAACTTTATGTAATCTCAGTAAAGTTCAAAATACTTACATTTAATACATACATGTTACCTATAGTCGAAAGCACATCGGACTCTATGTTTTTGTTTACACTCCTCAACTATAACAGTGCTTTTATTTAACTAAATAATAGAGAGATTGGAGTTTATCTTTAGTTTTGAAAATACAAATTTTAGTAATCGCACATTCACTGATAATTTTTTTTCTAAATTCCAGGTCTGTGCGTTGACCAACCGAGGGTACACCTATGAACAAATGTATAAGTTGACCCAGAAATTTGGTGCCAATCTCCGAAAGAAGTTCAACATTGATGATGGAGATACAGTGGCTCTTATATCTCCTAATAGTCCTGAGTATCCTATTGTAACTTATGGTGTTTTAGCAGCTGGAGGAATTGTAACAACTTTGAACCCTGTGTACACGCCATGTGAGTTATTTTCCTGTGATATCGGAACATTTAGTTATCTTTGTTCCATACCTATTCCGTCTTCCGTACTTTACATCAATTTATTTTTGTTTTTCATTGTATACTATAAATAGTACTTATGTATTTAAATATTTTAGAATTTTAAATGACTGTTCGAGTGTAAACACATTTCCATTTACCTCTTTTTAAATGGTTGGTTAGGCTACGGTCTCCTATTGAACGCTACACGCGGCATACGTCAGCGTCAAACGTTTTTATCGACGTCATACGCCGACTTTAACTTTATATGCGGCCTGTAGCGTTTACAATTTCTATTTTGATTTTACAGTAAGTTCATGTATTTTGTAAAGCTATACAGGGTGTCCCAAAAACAATGGATAATCTTACAACAATCGAAAGGTCTCAATAATATTAAATTTGACCTTAGTAAAAATAATATCACAGATTTAAAGACTCGTTTTTAGAAAATTGCCATCTGTGATTAGTTTTTCTCATGAAATTCTCCAAATTAGTTTTTGGAACTACTTTGGTATTAAAAAAAATGAAAAAGAAGAAAAGGAAAATGTAATTCGTAATCTCGCATCGTAATCGCAAGTGAAAAAATACACATCGATAGTTACAAGGTTATATCCATTGTTTTTGGGACACCTGTATTTACTCACAAAACAAGGTTTAAATGATAATTTTCTAACTTTTCAGATGAAATCCAGAGACAAATTGAACTATCAGACGTGAAACTTGTAGTAGCTGATGCAGATTTAGTATCTTCTGTTAAAGAGGCCTTAAGATTAGCTAAAATAGATTTGAAAATAATCTCTATTGATATCAACAAACCTTTACCTGAAGGCACAATATCCTACAAAGAACTTGTTGATGATCAGTATGTTGATTTAAACATTTTGAAGAATGTGAATCGAAAACCGCACGATGTTGCATTTCTGCCGTATTCCAGTGGAACTACTGGACTACCTAAAGGAACAGAACTTACGAACATGAACCTCGTAGCTAATTGTGAACAGCAAAATACTGAGCTGAGACAGCATAGTCATACTTCAGGTATTGTTAAATATGGATTTTAATTATTATCAAATAGCATTAAATTACCTGCAACGCTGGTTTCTGAAATGGTTTCCATTTAGACGTTAATATTTTGTTTCTATCACCAAAAATGTTTTCATCTTTTTCAGAAACCTATCAGGATTCGTTATTAGCTATTTTACCAATGTTCCACTCTTATGGATTGTCATTAGTGATGCTGCACAAGTTGTCAGTTGGATTAAAATTAGTCACTCTACCGAAATTTCAGCCAGACACCTTTTTGAAGGCTTTGCTCCAATATAAAATCAATATGTTATTCTTAGCTCCTCCAATGGGTTAGTATGTGTATTTTTAATTCCAGAGTGCTTTTTTATTCGATCAGAGTGACAAGCTCTTAATGTAAGCTTAGAATACGATTTAGAACAATTTCTTACTAAGTCTATGAGACATGCATCTAGATTTATTTCTTCAAATAATAAGTTGATTAAAGGTCACTGCAGAGTTATCAACTCGGAAAGGGAACAACATAGTATACTATGACCTTTCGCGAGCTGTCATCGCGAGGCGAGGCGTTTACGTTACGTTGTAGAACTTGTAGATAAGTATGCGTTGCAGCGCAGTACGAAGTTTCATACAAAGAGTACTGACGCCGCGAGTTGATACGGTTTCGATCCCTTTCCGGGTTGATAAAATGTGCTACGTCCTTAAGATGTAATAGAGATGTACTCCAGCTAAATGAAGCTACGATAAACTTGAATTTTGAATTTTTTAACTTTTCAGTTCTCTTCCTTGGATCAAATGAAATGGTGACGAAAAAGCATTTTGAGAGCGTACACACAGTCACATCAGGTGCTGCGCCTTTGCCGTCAACTGATATTGAAAATTTATTAAAAAAGGCGGAGGTGCGAGTAAATTTGTGTATTTTTATTGATCATCTTCCATCTAATAGCGTTTCTTCAAGTACTTTCCATAAGTAGCTATCTATTAAGAAGTTACTAGCTTGCCACAAAAAAGAACTGGTGAACGTGGATATACATCTCATCGTGGATATATCCACATCAGGGATGTTTGCGGATTATCATACAGACGGGTTTAGCGCCATAATACGTAAGAAATCTGTATTCCCTTATTACCAGGGTGCGAGCCAGTCACAACAGCATTCTGAGGACCCTAGCGGACAGATACACATCGCCGCTATGGAATGTCTTGTGCAGAGACTGATCACGGGGCCTTATCCACCCCCATGATGGTCCGTCTCTGCACAGGGTACAAGTTTTTGAATTTATAATTGTTTGTGTGTATGTTTATTTTCGAACCCGTTTAATATGGACTTTTAAAAATTGTCTGAAATAAAGAATTTTTATTTATTTAATTTATTTATATCCGTTTCTTTTTTGTAGCCAATATTTTTTCCAATGTCAAGTGGAATATTGATATAGGTGAATTACTTACTTAGTTCTTCCATGGATTCTGTTGAAAGATTATTATCGATTATAACTTTAACTTAAATTTTCAGCGTGAAATCAACTTTTGCCAAGGATACGGCATGACAGAGGCAAGTCCACTCGTGACCCTGAATACCAAAGGCAACAAAAATTACGATGCAGTGGGATACGCCATTCCTAATGTGAAACTCAGAGTGGTAGACGGGAATATGAATAATCTTGGCCCTGGTGAAGTAAGTACATGCGTTTGGTCTTCAGCTTTGACAATAATAATTGATATACTTTATAGCACACCTCATAAAAAAGAAGACACCATATAAGAGATTAACAATTTCAGAAAAGCAACAAGTGATCTAAAATCTAAATGTGTAAAAGTTAGTAGTTCGGCTGTGTTAATCTATTGAGGAACTCTCTTAGCATAAAATAGCCCGCAACAGTACTCGTAGAAGAAAACATAATTTGTCTGCTTCATCCTCTTGAATACGGTCAAATTAAAAAACAATCGAACACGTTTTTACACTGAATATGAACATAAAAGTTGTAAAGAATGCTGTTAACAAATTAGGTTTTTCTAGTTCCGAAAAGATAGGAAGGAATTACCCCAGGCCCACATCGCCTACGTTATCTGTCTGGTGGTTACATCAAAGAAAGTGACTGGACAACTCAAGCCATCTAATTTATGAAAGCTTTCTGAACCTGTTAATTTGAACTAATTTATTGCTACAATGTGATGTATTTTAAGAATTCAATCACCAGAAACTATTACTCATGAAAAAAAACGAAAAATGAAATCATCACTACCTATTTAGGATTACTTAAATACATAAGACATGACACTACAATCTATTTGAGTTGAATGAACCTCATCTAATAGTCCATTGTGTGTTTTAACAATTACGTATCCTTTTCTGGAAACGTCAATAAATACATGAAAAAAGCGACAATGCTCAGCAAGCTACTGCATACAGAAAATTAGACCTTATTTTTACTAATTTAGATTTTAATTTACCAAACAATTGCTAAAACTTACAACGCTAACTCATGTCTGACTCTAGAAATCACTGTTCGTGACGTGAGTGAGTTATCACCATAGTTCAAAAATAACAAGCTGTTCCCAAACTAATTAAGCTCATTAAGTAAATTATTTAGAAAGTAGAAAAATACATCACGGTCGGTCTATTACATCGGTCGGTGCCTGGATGCGAGCGGCGCAGGAGAAATCCTTGGGGCAGGCCTTTGTCCAGCAGTGGACGTCTTTCGGCTGAAACGAACGAACATCACATCGCTACAGAGACTCGATCCTCTTCATTTACCAAAACCGAACCGAATTTACATGGATGGACGTGCTAGTGACTTTGAAATAAATTACACAGAAATTTATTAATACATGGTGGGAAAAGTTGGTTAATGAAACACTCCCATGAAATCATCCACGCGTTCTCTACCTCGAACCGTTTTCGAGAAATCAAGCGTTGCTATTTACAAAAAAATTTTTGGCCCACCTATGTTAACATTTTTCAGACAACTTCTTTCAGAAATAAAACCGTTTGTTCTGTTTTTCCTACTCGTTACGTTTTCACATGATGTCAGAGGCAAACTATTCAAAGCACTTATTTAATTACGCCCACAGACCGGGGAGCTCGTCATAAAAGGACCTAACATAATGAAAGGGTACAAGAATAACCCGGAAGCAAACAACGAAGTGTTTTTGGAAGATGGCTGGTTCAGGAGTGGAGACATAGCAAATATTGACGAGACTGGAATGGTCTACGTCACTGATAGACTTAAAGAGCTTATTAAGGCAAGTGTTGAGGAGAATTCTATGTTTATTGAATATTTCAAGTAGGTACTTCCTTCTACAGAGAGTTGAATTATTTGCAATTTTACTAAAACGGTTCATTATAAATAAATAAATAATAAATAAATAAATCTTTGGACAATTTCACACAGCGCCAGCTAGCCCCAAAGTAAGCAACTTAATGCTTGTGTTATGGGTGCTAGCTTAACGGATATACTACTTATATACTTTTTTTAAATACATAAATGTTATACATAGTCACACCCAGACCCGTCACAGAAATTAAAATTCATCATTTCAATTTCTGCCCGGCCGGGAATCGAACCCGGGACCTCTCGGCATAGTAGTCCGTTCTGAACCACTACACCAAACGTCCGACCCAGAATTATAAATCGGGAATCATTCTTTAAGATAGTCATTTACTATGCCTATTGTTGGTTTAGAAAAATCTTTTGCTATAGTATGTTTTTCGTAAACATTGTCCCTGTTAGCCCCCCTAAGTAAGCCTTTATGCCCGTGTAAGGAGTGGGTTCATCCCATCTCAGCAATTGACAGGGACCGAAATAACGTTCCTCCATTCTCGAAGAATCGATCGATACATACTGTTAGACCATTATCACCTTAATAATTGTATGTGTCTTTGAAACTTTGAATGTCTGATTCCAGGTGAAAGGCTTCCAAGTACCTCCAGCAGAGCTGGAAGCAGTTTTAAAGGAACACCCTTCAGTTCACGACGCTGCTGTAGTCGGTATACCAGACCCTAAGACTGGTGAACGTCCTCTAGGCTTCATCGTTCCTAAGTCAGGAGTAAACATGAAGACTGAAGATGTCATAGAATTTGTAAGCAAAAGAGTAGCACCTTACAAGAAAATAAGAGAAATTGTAGTTCTTGATAGCATACCAAAGAATGCGTCAGGGAAAATACTGAGAAGGGAGTTGAAAGAAAAGTACAGCTAAAGAAACGGAATAGAATTAAATATGCAACTTATGTAAAGTATATGACTGTAATGTGATTTGTAAAGAATTTATTGCAATTAAGTGAAATAAATCAAAAGTTTTGCATGACAAAATACAGTTTTATTAAGGTATTCTTATAATTATGACTATTTACTTACTAAAAATACCAAATTACACTTCAGTGAATTCAATTACTATCATTATTTATACTAAAAATATTTACCTATGTAAATTTTTCCGCGAATTGTTTAATTTGATAATCATAAACAGACATCAAATAAATAACCTATTCCTTTGTGTATGTAAGTAATTAATTAGAATTACAAACACTTCAAGGTAATCTTCGTTACAATCCATATTATAATAAGCTAATTAGCATATAGATATTATTATGGCTTTAATCTTCCATAGAAATGAACAAAGGTATTTACTGCCAAGTCGAATAAACAAGTTTTAATACGCATCAAAGGTACCTTAGGTCATTGTGGAATAGTTCTTCCTGTAAAAACTTCTTACAATAGGTATAGTTATTTATTAGTCACTTTTAAAATTAAAATTCTATAATAGTAGATTATGCCCGTTTTCACCATCAATTCCTAATTTTTAAGTGACCTATATGAAAACAAAATTCCTGTCCCTGTATTATAGGGGTCACTTAATGGATTGATGGTGAAAACGGGCAAGACTCTTCATTCACGGCACCATCGCAAACTACTTTGACAACATATTAGCTGGAGCTAAGAAGAGTTGGAAAAAAGCTCATTCACTTTTGCAAATAAATACATATAGGTACTTCTACATTTAAAGTTATGTACTTATGTAGTTTTCAATAATTTGCTCTCGTAATTATTGTACAGTAAAAAGTTGTTTAAACTTACTTGTCGGCATATTTTACACATTATTTTTAAAAAGAACATCATGGATGCAGTAACATAACGCAAATTATTTTACACTTAATAAACAAATAGGTAAGCACCTTGATTACTTATTATTTGACATTTCACTCCTCGGGAGTACTTGAGTGGAAACCGTTCTTGTTAAACACAGTAAACGCCCTTAATCAATATGGGTGCATGGGTCCAGTCCAAGTGGACTGGCACGGGCTAGATGATTAGTCTGATTAATACGGATTTTTAAAAGTTCCAAAATATTTTTTCACAATTAAGACCAGGATCTGTCTGTTGACGCGGGCGAATTCTTCGCCGACCTAATAGTTCACAACAAGGATGTCATAAAACTGAATCAAAACACCCAATCGTCTACTAAAAGTAAGAAAAAAACTGCTACGCATTCCGTATCTATGTAAATAAACGTGCCGTGAAACGAAAATTTATTAAAAAATTTACATTGACGTCACGTGAAACAGGATTTGCGCATCTATAAATGGACCGAAAAATTATCAAATAGATGGCTGGGTATTTATAAAATAATTTGGCGATAGTGTCACAGAGCAGAGAGAAAAGTTTTCCCAAAAAGGTGATAGCGTGAAATGATCAAACAGCCAGATGTTGACCTTCACTGGTTGGATTTTTATTGGCGGTCGAGATGTAGATCCTGGCTACACAGGAGTTGCAGCGGTGGGAACGAGAGGTGGGAATAGTCCCGTAGCCAGATGTGATGAGGATACTGTTCAGAAGTGACTTCTATCAAGGAACAGCCATAAAAAGGAAATTAAACAAGTTTGAATTTGTGAAGTTTATGATGTTTAAAGTTGTAAAATGCAACGAGCTCTTTTCCAACCACCACTTGGTACTACGCACAGCCAGTAAGAATTTATAAAGACTTTTAGTAATAAGTAGTGATACAGCTTCAAGCCGTAACTCAGGTCATTAGAGCTGCAGGTCACTAAAAATAAAAATAAAATGGTACTTGGTTTCGTATTATCATAATAATATAGTAAGAAAAGTTTAAAATAAAATTTTGGCAAAGGCATTTCTTAATACAAATTACTTCAATTGTCTCATTATGTGTAATAATAACTGTCCGCCTTCATACTTAACTGTACGTGCCTACTCGTAGGTACTTGAGATTATGACACGAAGTATGATCTCATTTAAGTAATGTAAGTAACATTACACCCACATTCGCCAGTAGCTATTTATGAGAAGGAACTGCTACCTTTATAAGAGTTTATAAAGTATGATTGATGGTTACTGCGGCTATGATTACCAATAAATAGTTCCAACCTGTGATTATACTAATAGAGACTATGATTTCATCTGAAGACGGATACAATGTAGTTATACCGAGGCCACGTTGTTATCCATGTCACTAAAACTTCTAAAGTACTTATATTTCAAAAGGGTAAAACGAATTTGGGTAAGTAAAGCAACTCTCCTGGCCAGCATGGGGAACCCAGGTCAAATCTTTTACTTGCCTCTGTTAAGTTAGAGAAGGTCGTCCTGCTGTGGAGACTTATGCCCATTTTCACCATCAATTCCTAATTTTTAAGTGACCCCTATGAAAATATAATTCCTGTTATGTGTCACCATAGGCACAAAATATAACAGAAGACAAACTCCATACTAAACGCGCTCGAGCCACGCACACATAGACACCGCTCCTAGCAAGACTGTCTTGGACGAATGCGAGCGCGACGCGTTGAGTCACGCGCCGGTCAACCGCCTGTGATATTATTTTGTTTTGCGAAATTGACGAAAATGAGTAAACAGAATAAGTCGTATTATAATTGTTCGGTATTTGGTTGCTTAAACTCATCATTAAATACCGAATTTTCATTTTTTAAGTTACCAGTTGATTCGGGGAGGTAAGTAAGTTATTTTTTTTTTAATTTCAATTGAAATTGAAAGCCAACTCAATTATTAGGAATATCGAATTGTTCTAGAGAGGTTTTATGAATTATTGGATAACTAGCTTTTGCCCGCGGCTTCACCCGCGTGAAATTCAGTTTGTCACAGATCGTCATAAATTATAGCCTATATGTTATTCTGGGTTATAAACAATAATACTGTAAAGTTACATCAAAATCCGTTCAGTAGTTTTTGCATGAAAGAGCAACAAACATCCAGACATCCAAACTTTCGCATTTATAATATTAGATTAAGTTACAGATTCTGACTAGCTCCTAATTTGGATACTGATTGCAAAGGCCTAGTAAATAAATAACGTAATAATTTTTCTACTTGTATTTATCTAGTGCAGTTGTTTTGGAGTCAATTATAGTTTTTTTACACTAATAGATTCTATTCAGGTAGAAAATAGCGTCTGAGCGCGTCATAATTCAATTGTATTGTCTGACTGCACGTACTCTATGAACAATTCTGACATAAAATCTATTGTCGAACAAAAGCTGGGTTGCACCATCTTACTTCAACTTTGACAAGCGTCAAAAGTCTGTCTAACTCCATACAAAAAACACCGGTTATCGCCAAAGCTACGGTCAAAGTTAGGTCACCTCAGGTGGTGCAACTTAGCCAAAGAAAAAATTCATTTTGATCGCTAATGTCAGTTTTTAGCGAGTGACACAACCTCCCCGTCTGAAGGCCAGCGGCCGACTGCCGCCCGCACCCCGCGAAGGCCCCCTCAACAGCAAAACGTTCGGAATTTATCAAAAGTAAAATTTATGAATGAAAGTAATGTTCGATTGAAAAACGCAACGTGTCATTTAAAGATTAAAGAATTCCCAATCTATTCGTGCAAAAATCTTTTAATTTAACATAGCCGTTTTGGAGGAGTAGGGAATTTAAGTAAAAAATCGATGTCCCGTATTTATTTTTTTAATCCAAAACAAAGAGACGTAGCGAAAATTCAAACGTCACAAATGTAGTCCTTGAACTGTTGTACAACATATATTTTTTTCAACTATTTCTGTCCAGCAGTAAAAGAGGAGTAGGCTTTACAAAATGCCCATTTGGCGCGGATTGAGGACACTAATCGCCTTAAATGATTGGGCACTAATAAAATTGGGCATAATTTAGTTATTTTTCCAGAGCTTCCTAAACTTTTTTTCTGACGGTAGTCAGCAAAAATGTTCACCGTTTGTTTTTTGTTTCTGTATTAGTTAAGGTATACAAGTGTAAATGTTAATGTATGTTTTAAATTCAATAAATTATTTGTATTTGTATTTTCTGTGATGCCTTTGGGTCATTGTCATTTTGTTCATTGTGACGCACAGTTTGGAAAGCCTTTTTTAACTATAACTAGCTGACCCGGCGAACTTTGTTCCGCCTTAATGGCAATAAATAAGCAGACTTTTTTTTATTTCGAACGGGATAAAAAGTATCCTATGTCCTTCTCCTGGCTCTAAACTACTTCCCTGACAATTTTCAGGTAAATCGGTTCAGCCGTTCTTGAGTTATAAGTGGAGTAACTAACACGACTTTCTTTTATATATGTTACTGTAAAAGCTCGAATTGCAGTAAATCCTAAGATATTCCAGTAAAACCTAAGATCTACCAATTCCTAATGGTAAATGTCCCAAAAGGTTTGCGATTCGAACTCTTACCACCATTACGTTGGTAAATCTTAGGATTTACATTAATGGCACGGTAAATGTTGAAAAACAAAACAAGCATTTTTGACATTAACAATCGGTCTTATCTACGCATTACACGAGCGCAGCCTTTTTGTATTGTTTAAATGTATCTACGAACAATGTAAGAACTAAAAAGAAAGACCACGGCATAACTTTTCATTTTAATACAATTAAACAAACCATGATGTCACGGCCTTGTTTTTTCTTTAGCAACATAAGATCATGACATATAAAATACTAGCTTTTGCCCGCGGTTTCACCCGCGTGAAATTTAATTTGTCACAGATCGCCATAAATTATAGCCTATACGTTATTCTGGGTTATAAACAATAATACTGTAAAGTTTCATCAAAATCAGTTCAGTAGTTTTTGCTTGAAAAGAGTAACAAACATCCACACAAACTTGTGCGTTTATAATATTAGTAGGATGCATGCAGTACAAAATTTCAGTGTCCTAGATAGGCTAGATATGATATTTACAGGTATGCGCTACTATCAATGCTGGGTTATTATAATTCCGATATTTTCCACTTCACATTTCGTCCATGCCATGGATGAAATAACAAAAATGATAATA